CTCTCTCTCTCTCTCTCTCTCTCTCTCTCTCTCTCTCTCTCTCTCTTAGAAGACGAAGAAGAAAGAAGCAGCAGCAGCAGCAGCGGCGGCAGAAGAAGAAGAGCCGGGGAGGAGGAAGAGAAGTGGTGGAGATGGAGGGAGACAAAGAAGAGGAATCCTCCCAAAGTCACCCGAAGGTGAAGTCTCCTTGGAGCTGTGATGCAGGTGGTGGAAGACGCGCGAGGACGAACAGCCGCTATGGCGCCAGGTAAGTCTGTAGGTAAGTCACCCATAGCCTGGCCTCTGCCCTCGACCTTCTACTCCGCTACTCTACCTACCCCTCGACTGAAGCAGCGCTGCCCAGTAGCATGAAGACCTCAACATCTAACGCTGCGTGCCTAGAAGGGGGTTGGCCCAGCTATATATAACCCAAGTCTGGGCCTACTGTGCTAGGCCAAAGAAAGGCAAGACTGGCGCCCAAACTTAATCCACGAACTGGCCCCCAGACCTCACCACAGTCGGAAATAGAAAGGTAAGGTCCGCTTCCAAAACTGCACAGGAACTGGCGCCCAAGCGAATCTGGCCTAGGGAAACGGCCACTGGACCTGTATCAGTCCCATTCTGCTGCCAGATACGCTCGGACTACCGAAGTAAGACCGTGAACCGGACTGAACCACGCTCTGAGGCCGACGAAAAAACAATGCTGTGGCCCTAAAGGAACCAGGAGCCCCCTAATCCCCTACTCAACCCCTAACCTACTACCGGGCCCAAGATGGTCTGTGTGGTGCACACCACACATTCCATATTGATGGCCTGGTCTGGTCCATTTCTGGGGTTGATGGAACGATGGTGGACCTGTTTCGTTTTCAATGGAATATCATTTATATCACCCCTTGTCAATTCACTCTCGAGTGTTCGTTACTCTTATGAGTACGTTCACTCGTTGTCTTTGATGTCTCTTTTTGACTCTCTTACTTGATTGTATCCGGAAAGTACTGAAACCATAGACAAGGTCGCCTCTTCACCAGTCAGTGGTTATACAACATCCTCCTGCTGACCTCCGCGGCTCTCTCATCTCCCATTTGCATCTCCACAGCTATCTTCCCCTCTTCTTTCCTTTCTCCTTCTCCTTCTCCTCCTCCTCCTCCGTCTCTACTCCGCCGTCCTTCTTCTTGTTCGGTGCTTCTTCATCGTTGTCAGGTTGCTACCGGTAGTTTATCCCATTGCAAATGTCCTCCTCCTCCTTCCTCCTCCTCCTCCTCCTCCTCCTCCTCCTCCTCCTCCTCATCATCATCATCATCATCATCATCATCATCATCATCATCATCATCATCATCATCATCATCATCATCCTGTTTTCAAAAAATGGGAGTGTAGGGTCTAATCTCCATTCTACTCTGGGGAGCAGAAGTCTGGTTCCTCTTTCACCCTGCAGGTCTGTAATGCAATGAACCCAGTCAATGCTTCCCCCCATTACAACCGGACGTTCTTTTGGGGTGACATTATGCTTCCTTCAAGGATGTCCTTCATCCTCCTCCTCCTCTTCTTCCTCCTCCTCCTCCTCTTCCTCCTCCTCCTCCTCCTCCTCCTCCTCCTCGTCCTCCTCCTTGGTTGCTTCTTCACCATTGCTACCATGTAGATTGATCCCATGGAAATGATTGAATGACGTGGATTTTTCTTTTTTCCAGATGCATGTGACTCTTCGGGCGCTGTGCTGATGTGCACCAGGGAGGAGGAAGAGGAGGAGGAAGAGGAGGTGGAGGGGGAGGAGGAGGTAGAGGAGGTGGAAGAGAGGCGGAGGACATGTGGAGGAGGAGGTGGAGGACAATCCAGGGCAATCCAAACAATCAAAATCTGGAAGGAAGTCGACTCATACCAACTTCCCATTGACTTACAGAGGTGTCCACTCGTGATTATGTCTCATTTGCTTAGAAGGGTCTTTCTTTATTATTTATGTTTATTCAACTTTATTGTATATTTTGTTGACCTTTGCTTTTCTTGTCCCACACATGTCCCACACATGTCCCACACATGTCCCACACATGTCCCACACATGTCCCACACATGTCCCACACATGTCTCACACATGTCCCACAAACGTATGAAACCAGTCGCGAGTGGGAGCAAAGAAACAAGGAGTTGAAAGCTGAGAAGGACAAGATGAACCGGCATTACAAGGTGAGGCCACAGTATCTTTAGAATTGAATGATACATAAATGAATCATTATTTCACTGCCTTGAAGTCTTTTCTCTTTTTGTACTGATGGCTTACAGCCATGGTCTGCTCCACATCCACAGTCTGATCTGCAGACACCTGTCAGCCAGGCTGTCCTCATCTCCATGTCTGTGCAAACTACTAGTAGTAGTATAGTCGTATATTGTACGCCTGTCATCCTGACATGTGGGCAGATTATCTGCGTTTTGTTGCCATACCGAAAACTTGTGCCAAGAGAGAGAGAGAGAGAGAGAGAGAGAGAGAG